GTCGGTACAGCCCCTCCTGCGGAGCGGGGTGGGCGTTCTTCATCTCAACGGCTTCGCGCGCTGCGAGAAGGCAGAGCAGGTATTTAGGGGGACGCAGGACATCTTCACACAAAGGGAAGTTGCGCTCCGACTGGATTTGCCTGTTGTGGGGATTTATAATCCTGTTACGAGAGATTATGCCTGGTAATTTTATGCACATTTAGCCTCCCTCTGAGGCAAAGCCGAGGCATTAAACTCTCTTCACTAAGCATTTCAGATTGGATTTGAACTGCTGTTCTGGATGCAGAAGGCCAAATTTCCATCCGCTTTCCCATGACAATGCTCCTGAAATAATCTATGGAAATGTGATTTTTGCGGGTAGGCAGCAGTGCCGCAGCTCTCAGGCGGGCAGCGCTCTCGTCGGCTCCGGGGGGAGCTCTGCCCGGAAGGCAAGCGCACGGCGTGTGCAGTCAAAATCGTATTGTTATTGTTAGCAGTTTGTATTTAAGTTGCTGTACATAGAATATATTTATAGTCAAAATGTCTGAGGTAGTGAAATGTACTGTAGTGTCACTTAACAAATTCCACAGTGTCTTTCAAAAGGTTTTTTTTCTTTTCTTTTTCCTCTTTTTTTTTTTTTCTTCTGTTTGTTTTCAACTAGGACCCCTACTATGGCTGGTGGCCTATTTTCTATTGACAGAAACTACTTTGAAGAGATAGGAACTTACGATGCAGGAATGGATATCTGGGGTGGCGAGAATCTTGAAATGTCTTTTAGGGTAATTGCCGTTTTCCTTCATTTTCTGTCAACAAACACAGTTGTGCTGTAACGGTTCCTGCGCTGCGGACAGGGCCCTTGTGCTTTAGCTGTCACGCAAGTCATGGGTTAATTTAAATTCTCAAGATATTTGGGAATGCCTCGTTATAGTATTTTGGTCCTTTTCACTGCATGAACCATTTTGTTACTGTTTGGAAATTCTTGCACTTTCAAAATAATATCTATTTTAGTAATACCTTCCTTTGTAAGAGAAACGAGGCTTTCCGTGGGCTAATGCAAATGCTGACTGACATGAGATGTAAATCTGTGTAGCGTAAAAAAAAAAAAATATTCGAATATATGTTTTAACAGAAGGTTTTGAAAGTGTATGTCGTCCTGAACTTGCAAGTTCTGGCTGGGATTTTTATCCTGTGTGAGAGCCGAGCTCGCAGAGAAATTTCCCGTCCTGCGGAAAAGGGGCTGTAGTTCTGCCGGGGATAGGTATGTTGCCCGTGACAAGAATAAAATCTCATTGAGTGAAGTGCATTTAGTAATTGTCCTTTAGACATAAAGGAAAATGGGAAAATTGAGTCTTTGATAAGTAATTGTTAGAAAGGAATGACTTTGAACATCTCTGTATTACCACAATTTATGCATTTTAAGTAAGTATGCGAGATAAACCCTGGTATGCCTGTCTAGTACCCACGGAGATATCCTTCTTGCCTGCTTTTTTTGTGTCTTTTGTCTTCAGCCAGGGCTGGTGGACTGTTTTCTATTGACAGAAACTGCTTTGAAGATTTTTGTGAAGCAGGTATTTCTAGAGAAGATCAACTGAGAATTTGAAAGCAGTTTCAGGCCATTTTCTACAATCGTTCACTTTCCAGTAAAATAGAAGGGTAGAGTTACTTCTTCTGAGTAACTTCTTTCACGTTTTAAACCAGTGGATTTCAACATTTTTTGGTGTGCACGAATATTCCTTGGATGCATGTAGGCCTCTATGTAGGAGCTTATTTTTAACTTAAGCCTGTTAGTAGGCTTGTCTCGCACTGCTTTAGAAGTGATCTGCGGAGCAGAGAGTGACTAGCACTGCTTTAAAGCCGTAAATGCCTGTCTCTCGTGGACTAAATCTGCGTATTACTACTGTCCACTTTTCACCCAGTACCAGAGTGTGGGGTTTCTGTAAGGTGAAGTTCACCTCGCTCGTTGAAATGCTAAGGTCAGGATTGCTGGTGCGCATTAAACCCTGGCCGAGGAGCCTCGAAGCCGTTTGTTACCGCTGGCGCTTGTTATCGCTTGCAGAAAAGCTTCTGCAGGACCAATTTTGGGTCGTTACTGAACAGTCTAAAATGTTTAACTCTCCTTTTGGAGGAGCACTGGGGTTTCATGACAAAAATGATAACCCTTGAGAAACCAACTCTGATCCGAAGGGGCCAGCGAGGTGACTTTTGTTGAGAGTCTGTACTGGCGGGCATGTGGCTGTTGATTCTCCGTGGGCTTCTTTCAGCAGTGACTATTTTTGTTAACAAAGATACAAATATTGATCATTTTTCTGTCAGGCCTTGTAAGTGCCACAGAATAAAATAATTTACAGTTCCACGGCCTTTTCCCGCTCCCTGGCGGAACAGATCCGTTTTGGCAGAAAGCGTTTGATCTTCTGCTGAGCGCAGCACGCGGGCGGGTCTTCGGCTCCCGGCACATGCGAAAAAATGCCATAACTAGGAAATTCTTAATGCATTTTCTTGCTAATGTCTTTTGAAAACCTTTCCTGAGAAGTTTAGCTGTTTAATGGTGCTGTTGTGCCTTCGGCTTGTGCTGTTCTGCTCTGGCTCTTGGCGTGGGAGAGCTGTCGGGATCCGTGGCGGGATCCAGCCAGCTCCTGGGTGGGATGCTGGGGGGTTTGCAGTCGAGTGTAGTGCAGGTTGAGCTGATGCCTCTGCTTTGGTACGGTTTCACTGCTGCTGCTTCCTGGGCACTTCAGTAATTTATATAATAATACTCAGAGGGTTTGTTTTCCTTCCCTTTTTTTTTTCCTTCCCTTTTTTTTTTCCTTCCCTTTTTTTTTTCCTTCCCTTTTTTTTTTCCTTCCCTTTTTTTTTTCCTTCCCTTTTTTTTTTCCTTCCCTTTTTTTTTTCCTTCCCTTTTTTTTTTCCTTCCCTTTTTTTTTTCCTTCCCTTTTTTTTTTCCTTCCCTTTTTTTTTTCCTTCCCTTTTTTTTTTCCTTCCCTTTTTTTTTTCCTTCCCTTTTTTTTTTCCTTCCCTTCACTAAATAATCAATGCCTGAGTCCTGTTTCTGATGGGCTTAACTCCACATAAATTTTGTGAGAATACTTCCATGAGCTCTTCATTTCAGCTTTACGCTAAAAATCTCAGTCCGAAATATGCGGAAAGGCAAAGACCAACAATAGCCATGCCCTCCGCAGAAAGCCCTGCTGGTGAGAGCAGGGAAGCAGCTCTGGTTTTCTGGTTAGGACTGAGGTGGGGGGAGCGGGTGAATTTTGGGGAGTCATAGTAGAGAAAGTTATTTTATGTCTTCAGAAGTTTTTCCCACTTCAGCTTCAAGGAACGTTGCCAGCCTGGAAGGCGTGCATCCGCCGGATAAGAGGGCATGGCGTCAAGAATAGAAATAAACCAATGTGCTGCCAGCGCCGGGAGATTACCGGGGAAGTGCCCGGCAGCCCCGCGGTGCCATCGCTTGGTATTTAGAGCCTTCGTCTGTAAAGACAGCCGACCGAGCGGTCAGGTACGGCAGCAAAATACCAAGGCCTCTGCATTTAAAACCCGATCGGATGTAAAACCCGTGCAGCAGATTGGTGGCAGAGATTGCCAAGGGCTTGGGGAGGTTCCTCCAGCGGGTTCCTGGGATACCGCGCTGCAGTCGGGAAAAGAGCGGGACTGCATCTTGGTTTGGAAAATGGGAGTCAGCCGTGAGGATGTTTCTAGAGCTCGTGACCCGCAGCACGGCCTGGCGGCGCGGCCGTCCCGGTCCCTCTGTCCCACCGCCTGCCTTCTGGCTGAGCCGGTGCTCGGTCTTCGAGCCGCGCCGCTGAGCGGTGCCGGTTGGGGGGTGTCTTTAAATAACGGCCGCTGGGGCGGGGAAGCCATCCTGGTGGGAATCGCTTATGGCTGGGAGAGTCTACTCTGGTAAAGGGAAACCTCATTTATCCTTAGATATTTAACATTTTTTTTATCTATAGAATTCCTTAAACATTTTTAATTTTCTATTAAATTCTGTAAGTGTTTTTTCCCAGGCAGAGAATGCCCTGAAAACTGGGTAGTCAGAAAGGAGCTCATACAGCTTTGGAAAGAGTATTAAAAATAATCTGTCCATCAGGAAAAAAAAAAGATTATTCCTTAGAATAATCCAAGTAGGCCAAAGCAAGGCCAGCGAAAACAATTCCTG